CCACGAGAAAACCGGAAGTGGCGCTGTAGCTCAAGTGGTAGAGCGCTCGCCTTGAGCTGAAGAGCTGAGGGACAGCGCCCAGGCCCAGAGTTCAAGTCCCACGACCGACAAAAAAAAAAAAAAAATTCTCCCATACACAAAGTCTTTTTTCTCAGAAAAATGCATTTTTAACAGAAAACGCATATTTCTTTACTTGAGTTCCCCTTTTCTTTGTCTCTTTTCCAAATTCAATTTCTAACATAGGGTCTCTTTAAGTTTATGGTCTAGGGCCTCTTTCATCAAACATTCCCTTGCTACCTCAGTCCATGGAACTCTCTTAACTTCCCTCCTCTTAACTTCTGTGGTATACGTCTACAGCATCTGTATTTGGCACTTAGCATATACTCTTGTATTTTTTTTGGCAATGCTGTCCCTCAGCTCTTCAGCTCAAGGCTAGCACTGTTGAGCCACAGCGTCACTTCTGGCTTTTTCTGCTTATGTGGTACTGAGGAATTGAACCCAGGGCCTCATGCACGCAAGGCAAGCACCCTACCACTGAGCCACCTTCCCAGCCCCCTTGTCTTGTATTTTTATATATTTCGTGTGTATCTGAAGCTACATTATAGCTTTACTTATCTTATAGCTCTGACATCTAGCATAAAGATTTGCAGAGTAGATATTCTATAATTGTTTGTAAATGTATTAAGGAAGAAGGTATATACTCCTAAGTCAGGTTAGAAAACATCCATTCTAGTGAGGAGACACACTTTGAATTTGTTATCTAAAACCTTTAACCCTTTCTTCTTTACAAATCTGTGAGAGCTTCTCAGCATAAATTCAGGTTACTCTTTCATTCCAAGCCTCAACACTCCCAGTTCCAGAAGACAAAGCCCAATACTCACAGTGAACTTTATTTGGATTTGTCTGTTTCCGACGGGACATGTTTCCCTGATCTGAGAGCTCTGGCTTTTCCCAGTTTCACGGCTGGATATAATGCTACCTCCTTGCAAAGTGCTAACCTACAATACAAAAGGATATTGCAAGCACATGTCATTTTTCTCAGAAACTATAAAAAATTAAGAGCATATATAAAACTCGCCATTTGTAAATAATTAAAAGAAAGGAGAGAAGGAAGGAAAGATTAAAGTTAGTTTCCAGCACAATGTTGAAGCTCCAAGGAGATTAAGGAGCTTCTTTAGAGGAGTTCAGAGAATTCTATTCTATCTTTGTAGTTCAGAATATTGTTAAATGATTATGTTCAAGATGAAAAGATAGACCGAGAAGCAAAATTAAGGTGATCAAGGTTAGAAGTACTGTGGGCTGAAAGCATTAATCTTTAATGACTGTAGAAGGAAGCAGAAGGAAGCCAGAGTTCGGCAGCTCATGTGTCACATTCCCACTGAAGGCAAGCCCTGCAGTCTGCACCAATGGGAGCCTCTAGACATTTTCTTTTAAGAAGTTTTCTCACCTAGGGGAAATTAAAAAATCACATTCTTATGAGGCAGGAAATGTCTCCAAACCCTTAGGCAGCTAGGTGTTGGGACTAATGCCTATAATCTCTAACTACTCAGGAGGCTGAGATTCCAGGATTGTGGTTCAAAGCCAGCCTAGGGAGGAAAGTGAGACTCATCTCCCAAAAGACAGAAGTGGAGCTCTGGCTCGTGTGCTCAACTTTGTGCACAAAAGCTCAAGGACAATGCCCATGCCCTGATTCAAGTCTGAGGACCAGCAAAACACAAACATAAAAACAAACAAAAAATCCTTAGATATCTTTAAATGAACACAGCACAGGAAATAAAACGTCTATTTAGTCATGCAGACACAGTGCCAGCTACCACAGATGACAGAGCATTAGAGTAAATCAAACTTCCAAAGGTGAAGATGCACTCTCACCAGAAGAGCCAGACAACATCCACCTGTTGTTAAGTAGTCATTTAGTCCCTTAATGTGGAACATTAACCTGGTCCTACTGTGTTCTGGAGAGGTGGTTGAAGTTGGCCTCTTCTCAATCTTGCCTCTTGTATTGTAAAATGACCAGTGGGAGGAACAAACACAAAAGCTCCCTATACAAAAAGAGCAACAGAGAAATGCATCTACCTCCTAATATAGGAGATGACAGATACTTAAGCCTGAAGGTTCTTTTAAATACAAGAAAGATTAGTCCAGCCAGAAACAATGTTAGAGAATCTGAATTGGATTAGTAGCAGAAATTGTGGCATTTTCTTTGACAGACAGAAGACTAGAGGTGTGGTTCATCAGCAGAGCACTTTCCTAGGATGATTAGAGCAAGAGGCTCAATTCCCAGTGCCACAGGAGAAAATAAAATCCAGAGTGAATACACAGATATAAATGAAAAAATTCTATTTTCTACCAGACAGGAACATGGATTTAGTCACTCAAGTTTTCTTTCAGTTCCTACTGTCTCAAACTGTACTGTTATATACAAATATAAAATTCAATTTATTGCTTTAAGAGGAATTGTAAGAGGCTGCTACTAGCTGTACTTTGCATGCCAGTTAATGAAGACTCATCTCCTGTTAATGCCAACTAACTCCTCTAAGTAGCTAGTAAGGTCCTCAAACCAGTAATCAGATCCTGCCTCCCTTACCAAAAGAAGAAAGAAACCGCAAATGGCAAAGACAGGCCTCCACAGGAAGTGGCAAAGGAAGCAGCTTTCAGGCAGTCTTCTATCATATCTGCATATCAAACACAGTTCTTTTTCAGACCTTTAATTAAAAAAAAAAAGAAAAAAACTCCAAATATACACAGTAAAAAAAACCAATTTAAATTATTTAAAGTGCAGTCCACTAATAGAAAATACAAACGATATGCTTTCTCTAAGTTTGTTGTTTGTTTGTGTACACCATTCTCCCCTCCCCGCATTTGAGACAAGATTATGCCTTGTTGTCCAGGCTGGTCTCAAACTCCAAGACTCAAGCAATCCTCCAACCTCTGCCTCCTAAGTAGCAGGAATTATAGGTGTGTACCACCATAACCATTCTTAGTCTATCTAATCAACTAGTTAGTTATTAATGGCAGCAGTGAATGAGTATGTCACTTCAGATCTTTTTCTATATATGTCTATGGAATCACGAAGAGGACAGATGAATAGATTGTTAATTTTTTTGAAATTCACCTTATATAAAGGAAAAATGGAATCTTGACTATTCTATTTTCTTTTCCTCAAGATTTGAAATGGAAACTGAGATCAAGGTAAGGAAGTTAACTTCTGAAGGAATGCCAAATAACTGGAGCCCAACTCTTCCCCAGACAACAGTTCCATCTTGAAGCTACATGGCAGGCAAAGACAGAGACGAGCATCTGCATATTTAAATCGGCTGTGTCCACTGCCTCTTACAATCCCCCTAGTGGTCCAATAGGGAACTGAAGAAATGGTACCCAGGGGACTTCACACCTGAGGGATCAAGGAAAAAAGAAGCAAACGCCCTCCCCTTCCTCCCACAAAACAAAACAGGACAATGATGAAAACACTTCCATCCTCTCCCAAAACAAGTCTGTGGGTCGTGGACTTTTGGACATTAGTGGGGAAATAAATGGCACTGGCTGGACACAACCTTAGAGCTTAGACAACTTAGATCGGCAGTGAAAGCTAACCAGAACCATAGACTTATGACCTGATAGGTCCCCCGGTCAGTTTTACTTTGAGCCCAAATGTGACACTGAACTACAAATGTCACTGGACAGCGGCTGGGTCAGCATCATCCCAAAGGAAATTGGAATAAGAAGAAAGGTAAACGGAGGTTCGGGCCCACAAAGGGGTTTTCTCTTAAAGGGAAGGCCGTTTGGGAGGACGCGGTCTCCCTTTATCACGGCCTCCGCTCTCCCACAGGTTGTTAGGTTGCAGCGTCCAGCCACACCAGACAGTAACAAGAAAAGCAGAACAGAACAGAACAAAAACGACGCACAGCAAAACAAAAACCAAAGGCGGATGCGAGGCCAGCCCCAAGAAAACAAGGTGCAGTCCCACCTCCAACTCTGGTGCGGTTCCCACGGAGCGCAGTAATCTCGTCCGAAGCCGAGCGAGCGATCGCGACCTGCCAAGGAGAGGCCAAGCGTCTGGCACGCAGGCTCGGGCTCCGGCGCCCGGCGCCGCGGCCCGGGCGGGGCGGCGTCTGTCTACGCCGCTAGGTG